CTAAGGAACCCCTCTGCCTCAGCCTGGGCTGGGAAGAAGGAAGGGACCAGAAAGGGAGGAAGGGTGACGCTCTCAGAACTGTGAGGATAAAAGACAGCCAAGAGCTAAAAATGGGTGCACTTAGTAATCTGGTGAGCAGGAAAAGCTATCGACATGGATTATAATTTCAGGCGTTCTGGAAAGTCCTGCTACTACTTCCCTACTCTTGGCTGGACCCTTAAATTCCAAGTCTAGTTCTTCATTTCTTTTCTTAAGATTTTTTATTCTGTGTAAAGTGTAAATTTCTTTTCACTTTCTATTGATTATACTCAGGATGAATTCATTTTGTCAGATCTTTTTATGACAATAACTAGACCAGTGGTTTTCTACTTTTTCTGCCTCTAGACTAATCACATGGGAAACATCACCACTATTTACGTTTCTCGTGACACACAATTACTTTGAGTTAGACTATAGTATGTTGTGTGGGGTTTCTTATCAGAACCTGAGGGATGTATGTACAGTTAGCAAAAGCCATTTCTGATGCCCCCTCCCAGGCCTCTGCCTGGATCACCATGCACACCAAGGGTTTCTTGAAGGCAGAGATTCCCTCTAAATTCCCAACACCATACAGTCCTTGGCCCACAGGATGTTCTTCATAAATAGTTGTTGAGTAAACACAGATATTGATGGAGGAAGAGAGCAAGAAGATACTAGAGACCTGAATGTTTGGATGAAACAACCAGTAAGAGGGGAAAACGTTAACCACTTCCCAACTGGGTCAAAGGCTAGCTTGTGGGGAGATGGCATATATAAAATAATAATCACATCTAACTCTTATCGGGCATTTATTATGTGCTTGTCACTGTGCTAAGCAGTTTATACGCATTATGTCATTTAACACTCACAGCAATCCTAGGAGGTAGGTACTATTATTATTCCAGATTCAGAAAGGTAAGGTGGCTTGCCCACAGTCACACAGCTGAGAAATGGTAGAGCATGGTTTCAAACCCAAGCAATCTGATTCCAGACCCACACTGCCAAAGTGATCCAAAAACTGAAGTGCCAGCACTGCGTCAGATCCCCTCCACGGCGTTTCCTTGCCCTCCCTTACATTTGGGCACTTCTGCAAATGTTTCCAGACAGAACTAAAGCCCTTCCTCACTCCCCTTTTCCAACCTCAACCCCATTTTCTGAAGTATGCTATTCTGCCCCCCATCCTCTCTGAGGAGCCTCCCTCACCATCTCTACTTCCAGGTTATCAAGGACCCCGTGAGCTCGTGCAACATCAGAGACCAGAAGACTCGTTAAATTAGAAACACTCAGGGAGACCCTCCACCTCTGAGGAATGCTCCTGAGACCCACTCTCTCTCCCACCCACAGCTGTCCATGCACTCCTCCTAGCCTTCTCCGGAGAGCCCCTCTTCAGAGCCCTGCAGCCCAGGGCTCTCTGCTCTCCTTTGACCCACACCAAGCCTCCTTGTTGTCTCCTTGTCCATTCATGTCTCCCAGAACTTTCTGTAGTTTTCCATCATGTGTGCTAACTAAAGCTAATGGGAGAGCCTAAGGTCAGGGGTCCAAAGATGACCAAACCCTTCGACTCTCAGTAAAGCACTTGGTGGAGGCTGAACTTCTGAGCACCAGGCCTGATTTCCATGGTGACACCCCTGGGGATTGCTGCCATGGTAATGCTGCAGAGACACTGGCCACAGTGAGCGTTACACCTCCCCTCTCCATTTTCCTTTATGAGACTCCCCCAAAGCTAAGAGGAGACCTGCTCCCCCTCTTCAGATATCAAAGGAATCCCAAGCTGCCCCAAACAATACTGACTCTGCTCCAATAATCCTGCAGGTCCCAACCAGCTTTTCCAAATGAGGTACTTCATGGTCCTGGTTTTTTGTCTCCTTAAGAACCCACTTAACATTGGGAGACCTGAGGGAGGTAGCATGTAGTGGATACTTGAATGAAGGAAGGAGAGAGACAGAGAAAGTGTGTTTGTGTGTGTGTGTGTGTGTGTGTGTGTGTGTGTGTTTCCTCACTGTCATCCCTCCCACGTCTGGTACAGATGCAGAAGACCAGACAGTAGGCACTGAGACACTCTGCCCTCCAAGACCAAGGCAGAGAAACACTAAAATGGGTCCAATGATGGGGCCGGCACCATGGCTTAGCGGTTAAGTGTGCGTGCTCCGCTGCTGGCGGCCCGGGTTCGGATCCTGGGCGCGCACCGACGCACCGCTTCTCCGGCCATGCTGAGGCCGCGTCCCACATACATCAACTAGAAGGATGTGCAGCTATGACATACAACTATGTACTGGGGCTTTGGGGGGAAAATAAATAAATAAATAAAATCTTTAAAAAAAAAAATGGGTCCAATGAAAAAGTCACAGTGGATTCTGAGTGACACAAAGAGCAAAACAAGGTACATAGCACACAGACAGTGACCCAGACACCCTTCTGCTATGACTCAGGCCATTAACTCTGCCTAAGCCCCATCCCCCAGATTCCTGGGAGAAGTCAGGGGAGTGAGAGAGGGATAAGGCTTGCAGAGCTGTCTCTCCAGCTTATTCTCCTACCCTCCGCCAAGCAGAGAAAGCGCACGAACATTAGGGACCCTGAAACCCAGAGCTAGCTGCAGTGCCGCAGAGGCAGGGAGGACAGCCGCTAGAGAAAGGAGCAGGGGCTGGGTTTGGAGAGATTTCCTCTCCCACCTCCCCTCTTCCCTCACCTTCCCAGACATCCTGAAGCAGCTGCCTCCATTAATTCCTCAGACAGTTTCTCACACACTGGGCCCCAAAGGGAGCTAGAGGAGGAAAGAGTAAAGAGGGTAGGAGATTTCCTTCCCTTGTTGGGACCCTCAAGGGTCTCCTCAAATTCACTTCTCCTATAGCCCTCATCTTCCCGAATGAGGAGGGAATAGCAAGGCTGGGACGGCAAACTCCAAGGATGCTGCCTGAGACAAAATGGCCCCCTAGAAGCATTTATCTTGGAGTGAGAGATTGACAAGAAGGGCTAGGGCGAGGGAAGATACAGAGCAAGACAAAGGTAGAGCCCTACAAATATCAGGGGAAACAGACAAGGAAGGAGCAGCTGTGGAGCTAAGATAGAATCTGAGTTGGCAGGGGGCCTGGGCCTCTCTTCATCTCTCCTCCCTCCTCACCTTCCTCTGTGTCTCTCCTGTCTAGCAAATTGGACAGATCAACACCACACCTCCTCCTCCCAACATCACTCCATGCCCCATGCCCACCACACCAGGACGGCCCAGAGAGCTGGAAGGAGTCGGTTCAGACTTAGCAGATAAACCTCCAGCAAGGAAGCCAGGCTTAAAAGTAGAAGCCTTTTGTGGATTTGCTCCTCCCTCTTGTTTCTCAGGCTTTGTGTCTCAGGGGGACCTTAAGCTCCAATGCTCATAACTAAGGCTGGCTATCCAGACTACACAGAAGGGAGTCCCCCAGGGTTGATCCAGGCATGATGTTAGCCTGGCCAGACTGGCCAGACTGCAAGGCCTAATGGCTCTGAGGCAAAGAGAAACAGGGGCTCTCTCTATGTGGCAAACACACACACAAGGCAAACGCACCCATCTGAGTTCACAGTGCGGTGAGAGCTCAGCATGGTGGCAGACTGGGGCCCTTGGGGACAGAACCTGTAAGCAGGTCTCTTCCTAAGGCATGTTTACTCAAAGTCCCATGCTCACTGATGAAGAAGGCCCAGGCTCCCTCCCCTTCTTTCCTTCCTTCCTTTAACAAGCCCACCTTGTGCCAAGCACTGTGGATCAAGGATACATAACAAGCGCCCCTGACCTTGAGGACTGCCCTCATACGTGCCCCTCCCTTCTCAAACTGGCCACAGTTCCCTGGTCCAGCACCCTTCAAGCCCTACTGGACTCAACCCCAGATCCTTTCACCCATAGCCTAATAGTCCCTACCAACCTGGGAAAGGAGAGGTGGGTTAGGAATTCCTTTTGGGCCACCCCAGATAAAGGTCCAGAAAAGAAATCTGAGGAGGCAATGTGATATAGAGAAAAAGACATGAGCTTTGGAGTCACAGATTTAGGTTCAGATCCCTGAATTAATAGTGTGACCTTGAGAAAGTCATTCAACTTCTTTGGGCCTCAACTTCCTCATCTGTGAAATGGAAATATTAATACCTATTTCAGAGTGTTGTTTTGAAGATTAAATAATATATGTAGAGTAACAAGCACACAGTAAATATTAGTTCTTCTTAATGAGATCTCCTCTAGGGGTAGAGGCTGTCATGATGAGGTAGAGGTAGCTTGCCACTTTTTATTGGATCATCAAGAGAAAGGATGAATAAGCAAGTACTTGTTAGGATCTCAGGATTTGGTTATTTTTATTTGTTAGGGGGAGTTGGGGGTCTGAAATCCTCTTCCTGCTGAACCCAGAGGGAAAGGCAGCTATTTCCTTAGGACCCCAGAGTCTCCCCCTCAAACTGGGTGTGGCCGCAATGTATTTTTTTCTCAGAAAACCCTTCATCAGAGCCCTTCCCTCCCCCCAAGTCCAGGCTGTAACTACTTCAGGGGATGACAGAGGGCTTGGTCCTGGAGCCCACCCTCATGTATACCTCCGCAGAGACCCCGAACTGCCCACCTCCAATCCAGCCCATCCATCCACTAGTCTTCCTCCTCCCTTCCCGGGAGTTGGGGGTAGAGATTCAAGCCAATAACAAAGGGAAGATGCGCTTTCTCTAGGGGAGAGGGAAAACATCGGAAAAACAAGGGACTGGCTCTAAGGGGTGGGGACGTTGCAGAGAGCAGCAACGCGGACTTGGGTCCCCTGATCGCGGGGAAGTAGCCCCCTCTGCGGAGACTTGGCCGTCAGCCTGGCCAGGCCACACCCAGCCATCCTGATGCAGCGGCGAGGAGGGGCTGCGGCGAAGAGGATAGAGGACCGAGGATGAGCCGCGGGGAGTGGGCGCAGAGCGATAGGCAGGGGCTAAGGCTCAGCGGAGGGGAGGATTCACCCTACCCCCTCCTCCCCGAAATTCCCTCCTGGGGCGGCACTCACCCCAATAACGACGCTGTCGTCCCCTTGGAAAATGGGGATGAACTTGTCTCCGCGCAGAATCTCGGCCTGGTTCAGGGGCCGAAATCGGCAGAGCACCTTGATGCTACATTCGTTGTTGGTCTCCGCCATGGTGGTCGCCGGCGCGGGGCTGGGGCACTTCTTGGGCGGCAGAGGTGGTGTGTGCTCCAGAGGCGGGGGCTCAGCTGAGGCCGAGGCAGAGGACAGGTGCTCTGCGGCTGAGAAGGCTGTTGCGGGCGCCCGGGCGATGGCTGGAGAGCAGGGCCGGGGCGCGCTTCCTCTCTCCTGCGGCACCGGGATGCAGGCGACTTGGCGTCTGGTCCTCTCGGCGCTCTGCCTCTCCGCCCCTCGCGCTGCAGCGCCGCGCTGCGGGCCTGGGCGGGGCCGCGCTGGAGGAGCGGGCGGGGCTTCCCTCGAGGGGGGTCAGCCGCTGGCCTCCCCCACCGACTGGTGGTACCTTTCCTCTCTTCTCCCCTCCTCTCCCCAACCTTAAGTCTCGGAGATAACCCTGCCCTCACCCCTTCCCCACCCAGGTCACTCACTGCATCCTACCCCCCACATCCCTGATCTGTCTGCCTCTCCCTCGGACTCCACCCCCCTGGAAGGGATAAGGAGTCTGAGGTGGGCCTGAACCTGTTTAGAGAAGAGAGTCAACAGCGCGTCCACCCGCTTTATTCCAGGGCATCGGCCACCCCCGTCACGTCATCTTTCCAAATTGGGAGCACACTTCTCATTCCCTCTCCCCACACCCCCACCCCCGCACAGATTCCCAACCCACTCAACCTGCAAGGGCAGCTGCCTGTACCCCTATGGAGCTGGGTGTCCAGGTCCCATTTTTCAGAAAGGAGTGTCAGGGGAGGTCCGGCCATTCCCTTCCTCTTCTACATCCAAAGGTGCACTCTACTCTCTCCCCAACATTCACACTAGGTCCCCAGTTTGAAGGAAGATGAACTCCCATCCTGGGCTATCAGAATTCAAAAGCAGATAAAATTCTCACTTTTGCCTCATAGGTTGAGGCTGGGATGGAGGTGGAGAGGAGTAACTTTTTCAAGAGAAAGGGAGTTAGAAAGTGGTGAAGGAGGGGTGATGATGGGAGCGGGTAAGGCCAGAGGGGCGTTCAGAGAGGACCTCTAGGGCAGACATCTGCATTAGGGTTTCAGGCAGGTTTAGGCACATATGTGAGTGTGTTTCTTGTCCCAGTTACTGTTGGGCAGAGTACCAACACCCAGCCCCTTTCTCAGGCCTTTCTTCTCTATTTCTCCCCCTTCCCTGGCAAAAAAAAAGCCACGCCTAGAGATTCCTTGTCCTTCCTCCCCTCAGGTCAGACTCCTGCTGCAGCCCCTGGGCAGAACCACCTAGAAGCTGGCCGAATTGATTTTTCTCCCTGTCACAGGCCTCTGCTGGCGAACAGAGAAGTTAGACTGCAGGAATTGAGGTTCTGGCCAAGGGGAGGAGCAGGGTGATGGGAGACAGGAGGAGGGGATGGAGGTTCTGCCTAACTAACAATTGCCTAAGGTCACTTAGACACTACGAGGCAAGGATGGGAGAATGATGGCCTGGCCAGACAAGACCTAAGCACTCAGAACTCAGCTGAGGGGGTTTCTGGAATTCAGCCTATACCTCTAACCCACCTTGAATCTTAAGGAAACTGAGGGAAAGGGGTCCCGCATAAGAAACTGGATGGGAAGGCAGTAGGAGAAAGAGGGGTTGAGGCTCAGGGAGGAGCCAGGAGAGTATGCATACAATGACAATGAGTTCCAAACTCGGGAAAATAGGCATCTCTCCAGTCACTGAGTCTGGCACTCTTTCTAAGTGTTGCAGCATTCTGCAAGCTCAGGAAATATCCCAACCTCAGGCCCCCAGGGGCTCCAGGGTGGCATCCTTAGTGAAGGAGTTTCAAAATGCTAGTCCATAGAGAGTCACTGGTCAGAGACAAAAGTTCACCAAGTATACCTCCCCCCAAAACACACACACACAATGCGATAAGTTTTTCATAAAGCTGGATTTGTTAAGTTTCAAAGGACTTTTATTCTGAGAATATGTCTTTCTGTACCTTTCCATTAAGTAAGGATGGTAATAGTAGTAATAGGTTTTCTTTCCTTAATGAACTTACTTGGCAAAATAAAAACACAGCAATATCATGTCTATCTTCAAAAAGGTTTATTGTTATTGTTTTGATTTTATTGAACTGTGAAATTCAGAAGTTTGAAAACTATTAGTGAAGTGGTTAAGAGCACAGCGGGTGTTCAGACAGACACAGAGCCACCACTTACCTATTTATGAATGTGAGATAGGATTGCCTGATTCGAAAAACAAAAACAGGATGCCCAGTTAAATTAGAATTTCAGATTAAAAAACTAATAATTTTTTTTGTGTTAGTATGTCCCAGGGCCAGCCGTGGCTTAGTGGTTGAGTGCGCGAGCTCTGCTACTGGCAGCCCAGGTTGGGAACCCTGGGTGCGCACGACGCACTGTTTCTCTGGCCATGCTGAGGACGTGTCCCACATACAGCAACTAGAAGGATGTGCGACTATGACATACAACTATCTACTGGGGCTTTGGGGGAAAAAAAGGAGGAGGATTGGCAATAGATGTTAGCTCAGAGCTGGTCTTCCTCAGCAAAAAGAGGAGGATTAGCATGGATGTTAGCTCAGGGCTGATCTTCCTCACAAAAAAAAAAAAAAAAAAAACTCCGAAATATAGGATGGGACATATTTACACTAAAAAAAAATTAGTTGTTTCTCTGAAATTCAAATTTAACTAGGCGTCCTGTATTTTATCTGACAGCCCTAACTTGAGAAGATAACTTAACTTTTTCACTCCTAACATGACTAAGCCTTTACTAAATTTTACTCGTTATTGTTTTTGAAGCCCTGGCTGTGCCACAGCATGCCTAGTTGTATTATTTTTATGTAGTCATTTAATTTCTGGGAGTCCAAATTTATTCATTTGGAAAACAGGAATTATAAAAGCTCTTTCACAGACTTGATGTAAAAATGGAAGAAAATAAGTTGTACGAAATGACTCCCAAGGCGCGTTATTGTCGTTGCCCGCCCAAGCCTCAATCAGCTAAGACTACATGTCCCACAATTCTAGGCGGCGTCCCCCTGCCATTACCTCATTCCCTGGCCTCGTTCTCGCCAATCCCTGCCTCGCCAGGGGTGTGGTGGCGGGCTGTTCTCGCGACTTTTGCTTTACCCTTCTCCTGTGTTACTCCTGTCGCGAGACTTCCTGCTCCTCCGCCTTCTCCGCCGCTCCCTTTGCCGCCGCCTTCTCCCGGGACCCGGACCCAGCCTCTCCCCTACCCGAACACCAGCCCCGGCTCCACCGAGGCCCCGGTCCCCCAACCCCGCCTCGCCGCCGCCATGGCGGACCCTAAATACGCCGACCTTCCCGGCATTGTGAGTACAGGGCTGGCCCCGCCTCCCCAGGACCGCACCCCAGACCTCCTCAGGACCCCCAACAGACACCAACCCGCGACCCCTCCCGCCTGCAGCCCCTCCTCCGCCCCCGAGGCTCCCGCCGCTCGCTCCCCGACGGGCCGCAGCACCTCCTGGACTCCTCCGACCCGCCTGGGCCGGGTCGTGGGACGGCCTGCCAGGCCCCTTTTCTGGCAGTCGCCGGTTTCTCGGCCCAGAAGTCGTCTCCAGGCGCTCACCACTTGTGCCCGAGTGTTGTGTCAACATCACCCGTGTTTCCTCAAATCTTCCCATAAGCCCCCCATCCCCACCCCCTTACACACGTACCAGGCCACTTGGTGATGGCCTTCACCCTGCCAAGGAAGAGGTTACCGTGGCAAAACCCTTGTGCCAGATGGAGAACTCTGTCCTCCGGGGAACCTCCCCACCCCGCCCCGGCACATGCCGGCATGTACCCTCCTTTTTTGCCGCCCTGCCTGCATCCTCTGGGTGGGGGTTGGGGCACAGGACCTTGGGTACTAAGGTCCTGAGTCACTCTCAGCCCTTGTGCCAGGGTAGTTGTGTACAGGCCCTGATTCGAGCATAGCCCCTCTCCTACTTCTGACATAATGGACGCCAAGAACTCGCCCCCGTTTCAGAAGTCAGGGTAACATCTTTGTCATCACTTACACTCACCATTTACCATCAGGTCACAGTTGTCCCCACTGCCATCTGCATCCTTCTAAGACATGGGAACTGACATGCAGTTCCCCGGGCAGGTGGAAGAGAATGCATAGAATCCTGACACCACAGCCTGTCTTCTCCATTAGTTGTTCAAATGGAGGGGGGTCAGGGGTGTTCATGGATGCTGGGTAGTGAGGTTGGGTGGTCACTGCTTCTACCTGCAGGCCAGGAACGAGCCAGATGTTTATGAAACCAGCGACCTACCAGAGGATGATCAAGCGGAGTTTGATGCGGTAAGACTATGTGCTGCCTCAGGACTCCTCTGGATTCTGACTTCTCTCCCCCAGGCAGGCCCTTTCCCATTTCTGGTGAACCACAGCAATAAGCGGGTATGCCAACCCAGCCTGGGTGGTATGTAGGTTCTAAGGCTTGCAAAGGCCTTGCTGGTCTTACAGCCACCAATGAGCAATGCCAGAAAGGAGAGTCAGGTCAGTGGAATTACAGCTAACAAGACCTGATCTTCAGCCTTTTAAATAAAATTGAATCTCTCAAAACAGTTAGGTTTGGGGCTAGTGACTTAGGCCCCTGGGTGCTAGTCCATGGTAATGAATCCTGAAGCCTGAGCTAACTGAGGTTAGGACCTAGGCCTTCTATTTCATAAAAAATTTCACTCAATACATGTTTATTAGTGTCCTACCAAGAGCTAGATTTTGAAGTATAGAGGAAACTCTTTTATGTGAATATCCAGTATCCGTTGGGCAAGGAGTAAGAAAATGATTAGGAGATTTTAGGAAGATCAGGGACCTGGTCAGAGCAAAACAAATTTGAGGAAGAACATAAATCTTTCATATCAGCAGAGGAGAGGCCCTGGTAGCACTTTCACATCCAAGAAGAGCTCTGAGGAGGAAGGAATTAGCTATGGACACATTTTAACTATGAGGGGAACCACTTAATCATTGTTTATTGAATGTGTTCATTTTGTATTGGTTTTTGTGCAATGCAGAGGAAGAAATGTCCCTGCCCTCAAGGATCCCCCAGACTAATAGGCGAGTTAGTATACATATAGGAGACATATGGAAGAAAAAATAAAATTGAATGAATGGAAATCAGCATAGTAAAAACTCTGTATGTAAGTGCCAAAGAGGAACAAAGATCTCTTAGCATGTCTTACAGGATGTGTTTTAGGTTCTATTACTTTCAAAGAGAGCTGGGCTTGGGTCACATTGATGGCGTGAGATCTCAATAAAGTTGTGACCAAGAGCCAGCGGGAACAGGCTCAGTA